GGGTGGGTGGGTGGGGGTGCTCGAAACAACCAGGCCTGAGGTTGAGTTGCTCCAAGCCTGAGGGACCCCAAGCTAGTTACAGGATCCTTCTGGGCTCAGATTCCACTCCTGAGCCCCGAGGAAAATGGAGGTGCAGTGGAGGCAGCAACAGCCTCTGGGAGAAGGGGGGCAGGGGAGCATGCCATTTCCAATTCCCTGGGGCTGTGGGCTTCACATGACCAGAGCAGGGCCAGTGTCAAAGATGCCTCTGGAAACGGACAGAGAGAGGCAGGCTCCCCTTCTAGGTGCTCCCCTCCTCCCCCACACACAAGTCCAAAGGACTGGGAAGGCCCAGGAAGTCGTCACAGAAGCTGGAAAGCCCAGAGGCCGAGGTGTCTGTTGGGCGGAGGCAGAGCCTCTCCCCACTGTCTTCTGTGGGACCCGTCTGGGTGTCTGCGTGAGAATGGGATCTGTGTGTGGGAGGGTATCAGCGCATGTGCTGCGAATCTGTCAGAGCACATACATCTCTGTGTGTGTCGTGGTGCTGTGTGGGTCTCACCTCCTGCATCCTTCTCCCCTTCCTGTCTGCCCACAATTCTCAGTTTCCCGAGGCTTCGCCCATTTCCTGCCTCAATATGGCTTCAGACCCACTGAGGACTGTGGTGGCTTCTCCTTTATTTCTCTCACTCCCTCCACTGCTCTGCTATCTGGCATCAAAAAAACAAGCAAAAACAAAAAGCGACACCGAGCCACCCTATAGGAGGGGATAGAACTGCCCCTGTGAGTTTCCGAGACTGTATCTCTTTACAGAAGTAGAACGCTCCATCTTGCTCCCAGATCTGGCACAGTCCTTTAAAATCATCCCTTTATTTTTATGAAAACTGAAGCCCAGACTGAGGGGAGAACTGGCTCACGCTCGTGAAGCAGGTCCGTGGAAGGGTCCAAATGAGCCAGCAGCTAGGCTGATGCCATGCCACCTGTCCAGACTGCCCTCTTCAGTGCAAGGGGACACCTGTCCAGCCCACAGGGACTCTTTCTGACCTCCACATCCTATCCAGGGACAGCAGAGCTCTGGCGCCCCTCTCGGCCTCACTGGGACCATCTTGTCTGTGCTTTGGGCCAGGGTCTCTGATACACAGTCAATACTTCCTATGAGAGGATCCAACCAGCACCTGTGACTCAACAGGTGCACCATCAGACTCCTCCTCAGCCTGGGCTGGTCCCTTCCTCCATCTCTCCATCTGCTGGATGATCTGCTTTCTCTCCCTTCCCCTAAGTCCAGTTTGCCTCAAGGTGCCCACCTTTCTAGCCCCACTGTCCACTGCTCCCCCTCCCAACCCACACCCCTTCAAGCTAGGCTTCTCACCTATTCGTTTAGCTGTTTTCCATACCTAGGCTGATACAGGTTCTCATCAGCCTGACTAAAGTCCACTTCCTTATGATCAACCTCTCCCAGCCAACGGCATAGGCTCAGTACTTGGGCGTGGGTCGACCCTGCAAGGCCATGAACTTCAGCCACCACCCGAGTGTAAACTTCGGGGCTCTTGGATCCTCACCTGGTGCTGCTCTAAAATTACAGGGATAGATCTGATTTGGTTTAACTTGCATTAAACACTTGCCCAGGCCAGAAAGTTCCCAGGCCTTTTATGCTCAACATCAAGGAGCTTAGTGCGTCCCAATATGGCCTCATTCTCCACCGAGCAATTTTCACAGACTGGAAAGTCCTTCGGCCTTTGTTCTAACTTTGCTCTCCTGTAGCTTCCCATCACTGGTTCCAAACTGCCCTCTTTGGCTGCACAGAACTGCCCTGCGGAGACGTAAAGGCTGTGCCTGGAACGCACCCTTTGGTGGATTACATGGAAGGGGCAGAGCCCCCTCCTTCCTCCTAAGAATGTATGTCAGGCTGGTTTTATTTATTTCTGGTAGGAGATGGTAGGATGGTGGGAGACTATCATCACACCCACTTCCAAGATAAGCGAACCTAGACCCAAGGAAAGGAAAGGGTTACCCAAGGTCAACCAGAGCTCCGAAGCAGCAAAGTGAAGTCCAGAACCCAGCTGGGGGCATTTTCTGCTGGTGCACTGGCCCTGCTAAATGTGAGCAGACCCCTTTGCTAGACTCTTGAGGACTGACCTCCAGCTCTGAAGGAATTAGCACTGTCCACAGACAGAGCCAGTGTCCCTTCTGGGCTCGGAGGCCATTTCCAGAGGACAGGGCTCAGGGCTGTGGGTTTAGAATGGGGAGGTGGCAGTGAGGGAGGGAGGGGCTGCGGAAGGCAATAATCCCACACCCTTGCCAGCTTCAGAGGAGCTGGTGCTGAGGCAGTTGCCATAGTGACAACAGCTCCCTGGTCAGGAGATTTTCTCTTTCCTTCCTCCTCTTTCTCTTCTCCAAGCAGCAGCAGGAGCAGCGGTCAGGTCTTTGGGCTTCAACTGGGCAAGACTTCTCTCTCTCCTCGCTAAGTAAGACGACGCAGGTCATGTTAAACACAAGGTGGGCCATGTTGGCCACCCCCATCATGGCTGTCCATGAAAAGTCCTCACAGCTCAGGGGGAGAGTGGAAGGGTCCTGTCCTCCTCCTGCACCCCCGCATCCTCCCCACCCCCAGAACCAGAGTAGGTCAATGCTGGCAGGTCGCTAAGATGATCTCATCCAGCCCACCCCCTTGCCCGGGGATGGTCCAGAGAGGGAAGTGACTTGGCCAGTCGAACTTGAGGCAAAGACAACCTTTGAATCCAACTCTGCCCTCCCACTGAGGCCCCATTAGGGAAAGGAGCCACCCAGGCCACATGGAGATTTGGCCTGATCCCATCAGGAGGGTGGGAGAGGGGACAGCTAGAGGGGATGCCAATGAGAAAGCCATCTGAGGGTAAGAGTGAGTGGGCAGGCGTTAGCAGCAGAAACGGAGAGGACAAGGTTGATCTTCAGGGAGTGGTGTCCCTGACTTAAACTCCCATCAAAAAAGCCCAAAGCATGGGGACTCTGCCTAAAACAAGCCCCTCCCCCCCAATGGATTGTTGAAAGATAGTGTTTTCCAGGAGGGAAACTGGAGTGGGAGGGCGGTGCATTCAGAGGGGCCAATGTGAGGTGGGACTGGGCTCTTACAGATGTGGAGACTGTGTTCGGAGGTGGGGGCTCCGGGCTCTGAAGTTCGGTGAGCTGCTAGTGGGGCTGGTTGGTGTGGGTGGGGGCTATATGGAGGTGGGAGGTTGCTATGGGGCTGTGAGACTACCTATCGCCAAAGCAACAGGAGGAAGGGTAATTGGTACTTTCTCTAGCACGAGCAACCCCCCACCGTGCGTGTGTGTGTGTGTGTGTGTGTGTGTGTGTGTGTTCAGGGCCAGAGCTGTGGTTGCTTGTGGTTGGAGGTGGGATAAGGGTGCAGTTCTATCTCCCTTCCAGGAACCTTCAGGCTGGGCTGAGGCAGTGTTCCCTCCGCCGCCTTGGGGCAGGCCCTCTAGATGCTGAGGCCCGTGTGGGAGCCCGGGGGCAGGGAGGTGAGTCAGGAGGGGCTATAGATAAGGATGGGAATAGGTGGTCAAGGGACAGGAGACAAGGATTCGGCCTCTAGGGGTGCCTCCGAGGTCCCGCTCCACTCACCTTACCTGGGGCCGCTCGCCGGGTCTCGGGGTGGCTCGGAGCCTGGGCGGGCCGCGGGGGACAGAGACTGGCTCTGGGATTGTCGGTCTGGCTCTCTTAGGTCCGCGCTGGAGCCGCCTCCCAGCTTTTGTAGCGCTAAGTGCTTCGCCAAGGCGACGCGATTTGCATAAACCCCTCCTCATCTCGGACAGATGGGGCGTTGATTGGCTCGACTGGGGCAGAGTGACAGGCGAGGTTTCAGGTGGAGATGGGTGGCCAGCCAGGCCTGGCTGCAGCGGCGGCAGCAGCGAGCCCCTCCCGCCCGCGCTGACCTTCCCCGCTTCGGGAGGAAAGGAAGGGCCGCCCTCGCCACCCCCGCCCAGACACTCGGACCCCCGGCTACAGTCCGGGGTGAAGAGTGTCAACATTTGAAACGGATTTGCAGAATCCACCGCGACGTTGCTATGGAAACAAGAGAGCCACAGTGGAATCTCTGAGCTTCCTTCCCGGGCCCCAGCGGGGGTGGGGGTTGGGGGCGGAAAGGGGATGAGTCACAAGATGTGGACGCCCCCCCCCTAATGCCCCACCCGAAGTTGAAGGGGAGCAAAAAGGAGCTGCTGAGTGGGAGGTCTAGCGGGCCCGGCCTTCACGCCAGCCCCTCCTGCACGCCCTCCCCGCGCAGCCCGAGGGCAGAGAGGAGGGTAGGTGGGCGCAGGGAGCGCAGTGTGGACGCTGAAGGGCCCAGCCTAGCCCTGGACTGCCTCCGGCCCCCGCTGCAACCCCTGAGGCCCATCCCTCCCCAAGCAAGCCCTCCCTAGTGCCCACGGCTCCCCCCACCCCCGACCCCTCGCGTCCTCTTCTAGGACCCTCCACCTGCACCTCGGACCCCGCCACTCCCCGCCCTCGGGTCCCGTAGACGGATCCCGTCCCCAGCCGCCGCCAGTCTCGGGCCTCGGATGTTGACACAAGCCAGAGGCGGTTTACACTGAGCGGGTCTGGAAGGTTTCAGGGCTTCGGGGACACCTCCCGCACTTGGGGGTCTCCCCAAAGCCCGGCCCGGCAGTCCTGGCTGCATCAGCGGCCGAAAGCTCCCGATAGTGGGAAGGCACCCTTCACTCCAAACCCGGGGCACAAGGGGAGCAGATAGCCTCTGGCTGGGCCACGTGCGGGGGCGGGGCTTCTCGGGAAACTGTCCGAAGCGGGGCGGGGCGTCTGGGGACCGGTCGAATGAGAGCGGGGAGGCTGAATCGTCCCGGAGAAGAGGCGGGGCTTCTCCTGAAGTGAAACCTGGGGCCTGTTGGGATGGCGAGTGGAGACCAGGCGTCTGGGGCTGAGCCCAGTAACTCCGGGCCAGGCCCTCTGGGCTGGAGGCGGGCTACCTTCTTCTTTAGGAACTGTCCTACCCCACCCTACTCGGATTTTGCTGCCCCATTTTTCTGACGCAATCAGTTTCCTGTCTGGTCCCCTAGCAGCGTGCAAGCTCCCTGAGGCTCCAACTAGGAGGGGCATCCCTAGCCCCAAGGTGTGGGTGACTCACAAAGTAGGTACAGGTACCTTCAAAGCTTCAACTGGATCACTTCCTGGGAACTCCCTGTGCTCTTCCTTGCTGTCTGTAATAGTCCCAGGAAGGCATGAGAAACTTCTGGGAGACAGCCAGAGAATGGCACCTGAGGTCTTAAATGGAGTCTCATTTTTGCCGACAACCCCACAGATAACTGTGAGCCAAACCTTTCTCTCTCAACATCCCTGGGGGTCTGTAAAAGGTGGGTGCTGGTACAGGAGGCTCGGAGGGACGGGAAGAATCTCAACTAGGAGGCTGCTCCAGGATTGCTTGTCATCCTGGGCTCCTTCTGAAAATCTACCGTTTGAAACCTTTATGCATCACAATAGAACACTGTCCAAGGCTCTGACTTTGGCCGTGTAGTCAGGAAGGGTCAATCACCAGAGGAGGGCACTGTGTGCAGTGAATTGGCAAGACTGCGAGGGTGCGGGAGACCTTCCATGAGCTGTACTGGCACACTGGCTGCAAGGATGAACTCGAAGACGCTGGTGATTCTCGGGTCCATGCAGGACCGCGCAGCATTTTGTTCTGTTGTACGTGAGCTGCAGTGCGATCACCAGCAGTACTCTATCTAATCTGATGGCTCTAGTGGATTCGGAAGCCACTTAAGGACAACTAAGGAGCCCACATGGGGCTGGCTGTGGGGTGGGCATTGGCCTGCTAGCCAAAATGTGGACAGTTTAAGCCCACAAGTCGCTCTGTGGGAGTCTGTCAGATCCTATTAAGACTTACAGTCTTGGAATCCCTAGAGAGGGTCAGTATGAATCTGAATTGGCTGGATGGCAGTGGGTGGGTGGGTAACATCTATTGAGAGTGTAGATCCACTGGCGGTGAAAATGGTTTGCCCTTGACTACCAATCAAAAGGTTGGCGGTTCAAACCCACCCTGAGGTATCATGGAGGAAAAGCCTAGTTATCTGCTACCAGAAAGTTACAGTCAAGAAAGCCCTCTGGACTTCCGTTGTACTCCATAGCACATGAGGTCAGTGGCCATGAGTTGGAACCAACTTGATGGCAATAGGTTTGGTTTCAAGATTTTTGAGAACTTATTGACTTTGGGTCAAGGAGTCCAGGAAGCACAGTAGGCTAAGCATTAGGCTGCTAACAGAGATGTTGGTGGTTCAAACCACCAGTTACTCCAAGGGAGAAAGATGAAGCTATATGCTCCCCTAAAGATCTGTAGTCCCAGAAACCCTGAGGACAAGTCTAGGAGTTTGTCTTAAGAGTTGGAATTGGGAGGGAGGGGAAAAAATGAGGAGCTGATGCCAGGGGCTTGGGTGGAGAGTGGATGTTTTGAGAATGATGAGAACAATGAATGTACAAATGTGCTTTACCCAATTGATGTATATATGGATTGTGATAAGAGTTGTATGAGCCCCTAATAAAACAATTCAAAAAATTAAATTAAAAAAAAAAAGAGGGAATTGGTTCCGTACCAGTGGCCTTGATCTGGGTTGGTTTGGTTTGGGTACTTTGTGTTGGATGCTACTCCTCATAAGGTTTTCACGATCTAGGCACTATTATTAGGAACCCTGGAGGCATAGTGGTTACACAAGGTCAGCAGTTCAAAACCACCAGCTGCTCCTCGGGAGAAAGACGAAACTTTCTACTCTCGTGAAGTTAAACAGTCTCAGAAATCCACAGAGGCAATTCTACCCCTGGGAATCGCTGTGAGTCGGCAAGGACTTGATGGCAATGAGTGAAGTGGAATGGAGTGGAGTGGATTATTATTCCCATGTAAGAGATGAGGAAATGATGTGTGATTGACCCAAGTTCACTTAGCTAGTACAACTTAGAGCTGAGACTTGAACCCACAACCTGACTGGAGAACCCACCCTCTTGGTCAGCACACAAGATTACCTCACCTTAAGCTCCTTCAGGTTCTCCAGGAGAAGGACCTAGGATTGGAATCTTTGTTTCTGACTCCCCAGAAGTATTAGGAAGGAAAGCCCCGCCTCTTGGGAGCAGCTGCTCCATTGTAGAGTCCACTAAGCTCATGGGTGCCAGGAGCAGCAGTACAGCAATCGGGACCCACTGCCACCGAGTCAGTTCTGACTCAGAGACCCTGGAGCTTGAACGACAAGGGGCCAGCCCCCATCCCCTGGCCCTAGCATTAAGCATGGGAACCAGGGATCCCAGGTGAGATGGAAAGGAAGGCAAGGGGCGGGTGATGCACCCGGAGATACTGGGTTTGCTCTGGTTCTTTAAACAGGCAGGATCCCTCACGCAGCAGCCCGACCTATAATTCTCTAGGAGGTTCCTCTGGCCCCGAGGTCCCTGAACTCCCAATCACAACCCATTTTCATCTGCTCATACAACTCGACTCTGAGACACTGGGCTTAATCCTGCGTCTGGCCCCTGGGTTGGATGTTTAAAACAGGAACAGCTGGCACCAAGTTGCTGCACTATATGCCAGCCATGATTTTTATCTGCATCATCTCACCTAATCCTAAAGATGACCACTGTCAGAGGTGATATTAAAAATGCCTGGCAACCAGGGAAGGCACATATGTTACCAATCACAATGGCTGTTGGCCTTAGTGCTAGATCAAGGACTTGCTAGCTGTTTTGCCAAGAGTTAACACTGTAGTGATTAGATCAAGAGAAGGGGGTTAAGGGTAAGGGAGGCGCTAGGATGGTGAGGGGTTCAAGACTATAGCCATTTATTTACCAGTCAATTTTGAAGTATTTTGACTTTGAACTACTAAAGACAAACTAGAAAGAAAGTCTTAATGATCTGCTTGCATGATCCAGCCAAGAAAACTCTATGGACCTTAACCATTGGGTCCGCAGCCAATGGTGGATCTGGTGCAGGACCAGGCAGTATTTCCACCCATTGTATATGGTGTTGCCTTGAATCAGGGCTGACTTGATAGTGGCTAATAACACTTATTATTGTCATTTCATGGCAGTGGAGTGGAAGAGAGGGGCCCTGATGGCGTAGTGGGTTACACATCAGCAACCGGAGAAAGATGAGGCTTTCTACTCCTGCAGAGAGTTAATTCTGACTCAGAAACTCACCAGGGCAGTTCTACCCTATCCCCGAGGGTCTTCATGAGTTGGAACCAACTCGACAACAGTGAGTTTGGTCTGGGTTTTGGAATGGAGAATCAGAGAGGTTATAAAACTCGAGCTTTGTAACAGCTCATTAAAGACAAAGCTGGGATTCAGAGCTAATCTCTCTGACGGGTCTCTGTTCTTAGGATGGAGTAGCATCCAGAATTGCGCCCCCCGTTCTACAGTTGAAGGCTAAGCCAGAAGGAGGTGGTTTAAGTTCTGTGGCGTTGTCATGACCTTGCTGTTCTCGGCTGGGAGCCTTGGCAAGCATCTTGTTCCCACATTGTTGAAGGAGTGGGCCATGCTATGGGTAGAGGGGACACAGGAAGGACTTAAGCAAGGGCAGAGGTCTGCAGGCAGTGGCCCCTCCAATCTGCTTCTCCTAAGGTTGGCATTCCTCTCCCAGGTGGTCTCCAGCACTCCTTTTAAGATGGATAGCCTCAGCCTCACCTGGTGCAGCTGGAATGCCCCAGGGTCCTAGATACCCCGCAGCCTCCTTGCAGCCAGGAGAGGGCGAGGTCACCAGAACTGGGTTCACTCCCTTTCCCCATTG